GAAATAAAGGTTTGCTAGTCCTTGTTCAGTTCTAATAGTGTTATGGGTCCCATCGCTGGGTTCCCATTGTGGTCTAGTGCATAGCATGATGGACTAAGACTCTGGAATCCCCACTTAGCCATGGAAACTTTCTGGGGGAGTGGAACTGGTAAAGCCCCTCCTTAAATGGCTCACTAACCTTGAAAAGCTTGTTAAGGGTTTCTTGAAAAGCTTGTAAGTAAGTTTCTACTTTGCTGCATGCAACAGCAACAACCGTAGGAGAAGCATGGCTTAGACATGAAATGAATACATAAATAAATAGTGTCTCACCAACATGGTTGGGGACGGAAAGCTGACCATGGCTTCCTGATCCCAAATCACTGTCTCTGATATCCTAGTACATAGTACACAGAAAAATCAAATAAATGAATGAATGAATAAAAATTTATACATAGTGAAAACTAGGTAGCTCAAGCCAAGGAAAACTTAGTTAGGCAGAGTGTGAATGATCCTAATGCACAGGTTGGTAGTTAGTGAAAAGGAAAAATAAGTACAGTGGTGCCCCGTATAGCGAGGTTAATCCGTTCCGGATTAACCTTCGCTATACGAAAACATCGCTGTGCGGGTAAGGAAAACCTATTGGAACGCATTAAACTTAGTTTAATGCGTTCCAATAAGTGTGCAAACTTACCCCTCCAGCGATGTTTTCGCGTCCACAACATTTTGGACCTGACTTTAAGGTCAGCCTTACGTAGACAACATTATGTTGATCTTGGAACCTTGTACAGTGGACCCTCTACTTATGGAATTATGTTCGGCGGCTCCAAAATGGCCGCCGGAGCCCCAATCGTCGCAAAGCGAGTGCGGCGATTGGGGCTGATCCGTATAGCGATCCCCAAAAAGGGATCGCTATACAGATTTTTCGTTAAACGGTGCACTCGTTAAGCGAGGCACCACTGTAAATTAGAATGTGCATGGAATTAAAGATCAGAAGGGTGAAATTTCCTTAAAAGGTGGGGGGGGTGCATAAAATAAGGATTCGTTGAGGTCCTGCTCTGTCTATCTCATGTTGCCTTAGTAGGCATCCTTCAGTCTCAAGAGACTATAGTAACGTGCTCTGTATGGAGGACTTGGAACAGCATGTAGTGTGGCTGAGAAGACCAATTTGAGAGTGACAATCCCTTCCACACTGAAGACAAATACGATCAGTCCCCTGTCCAGCTCCCTGATTTTGCTGGTTTCGGGACTGCCTCTTTGCTGGACAAGGGTCTCTTTAAAGTGGGAGAGGCCGTGATACACCGCCTGCCTCCAGGCTGAATGCTCAGACATCAAGGTTTCCCATCTGTTGAAGCTCATTCCTAAGGCCTTCAGTTTCCACTTGCAGATATCCTTGTATCGCAGCTGTGGTCTCCCTCTGGGGCGATTTCCCTGCACTAATTCTCCATACAGGAGATCTTTTGGAATCCGACCATCAGCGCTTCTCACAACATGCCCAAGCCAACATAGACGTCGCTGTTTCAGCAATGTATACATGCTAAAAGTTCCAGCTCATTCTAGGACTACTCTGTTTGGAACTTTGTCCTGCCAGGTGATACCAAAAATGTGTTGGAGACAACGCATATGGAATGTGTTCAGCTTCCTCGCCTGCCGTGCAGAAAGGATCCAGGACTCACTGCAATACAGGAGTGTGCTCAGGATACAGGCTCTATAGACCTGGATCTTGGTGTATGCCGTCAGCTTCTTATTAAGCCATACTCTCTTTGGGAGTCTAGAGAACATGGTAGCTCCTTTGCCAATGCGTTTATCCAACTCGACATCTAGGGAGCGAAAGGTACACAAAGTCATGAACAATCTCCAATTCTTGTGTGGAGATAGTAATAGAGGGAGGCAAGTCCACACCCTGGCCCATGACTTGTGTTTTCTGTTGCCTAACCACTATCTTACTTGCCCAAGATGGTCTCAACTTATTTGGTAGCAGAAAATAGTCTTCTGTTTTTTTCAATGTTGTGCACAGTTATGTGTGGAATGAATTTGTATCAGCCAATTTACACAAGACTACTCATTCTACATATCGGAGGTTGTAGTGGGATAAATATTCTGGGACCTTAGTCCTTTCTGGTATTACTTGGTTTCACCCTCTTGTTCATCGTTTTCTTAACATATCACACATACACTTCACTTTCGTACTTTAGCAAACCTTACTGTTCAACTATACCTTGTGATTGGTTTTCATTACTTGTTTGTTTGTTTGTTTGTTTATGTATTTATTTATTTATTTATTGCATTTATTTATTGCATTTATATGCCGCCCATCTAGACATAGTCTACTCTTGTTACAGTAGACTACTAGCTTTCCTGAACCAAAGCTTCTTCCTTTTTTAACAAAGATCTGGCAAGATAAGAGGTACCTATTTCTAGCAACACATGACTTGATCATATCAATATTTGGCATAAATGACTTGTTTCATATGGCAAACAAATTTTTTCAGTATGACATGAAGAACCCCTTAGGTTTATGTACTTCACTTCATCTCGTTTAGGCATACAGTGGTGCCTCGCTTTACGATGTTAATTTGTTCCAGCGGAATCACTGTAGAATGAAAACATCATAAAGCGAAATTAAAAAGCTCATAGAAATGCATTAAAACCTGTTTAATGCGTTCCAATGGGCTTAAAACTCACCGTCCAGCGAAGATCCTCCATAGGGCAGCCATTTTCACTGCCTGTCTTGCAAGGAATCCGTCCCTAAACACAGCGGGGAGCCATTTTATTTACCATTTTGAAACCGCCAATCAGCTGTTAGAAAATCATCGTTTTGTGAAGAATCGGTTCCCGAAGCAGGGAATCGATCATCGCAAAGCGGAATTCCCCCATAGGAAACATCGTTTTGCAATCGCAAATGCAATTGCAAAAAGTTCATTGTAATGCGATTTCATCGTTAAACGAAGCTATCGTAATGCGAGGCACCACTGTAGTTTTGGGAGGAGACAATGAAAGCTTTCACTTCTGTTTTCAGTTATCCACAGTTTAGTGTTATGTCACAACGCCAGAGATGGGCTCTTCTGGCTTTCTACTGAGCTGGCCACTCCAGGCAGGGGGCAGGAGACAAGTCTCCCCGCACAGTTGCTGAGTGGCCAGCTGAGCAGGAAGGCAGTGGAACTCCAGGCGTCACTAGCAGGAAGAGCAGGACCATTGCCACAACAGGACACATGAGTGGATGGTCCAGTCCCGAGGCCGGACCCTCATTAGGGCCAGTAGGGACCAGGATATTCGTATTCGTGTACAAATCTCCCCATCTCTACTCAGCACTAAACAATGTTTAACTGTAATGTACAGTAATGTTTAACATTAAAAGTAATCAATTTCATAAACAGCAATTCAAAATTATTCTGGTTGATCTTGTTTATTGCAGATACACTGTAGTTAAGAGTCATCATAGTTAAGACTAACCACAGTTTGACCAGGTTCAGAAACTTCAGATCTCTCCTCTAAGTCATTGGAGGAAAAGTGAGAGTTGCTGACAGTCTGATTGGTGTACTCCTAAACTATGGGGGGGGGCGGGGAGAGCATATGAAAAAAAAACTGTTTAGTGCTGTTGGGCTTCATAATCTGAACAACTGTTGTGTGAACAGATTTAGAAAGTATGAATTACATTTCTCATTTTCTTCTGCTTGGCTTCATACACCCACACAGATACTCCTTTCCCGCCCCCATAATTGTTTCTCCACTATTCATCACTTTTGTAATTAAGATGGATTGGGAGTGCCAGATCTGCCAGAGAATGTCAACAGCTGTTTGATAATAAATCATACAGCTTATCAGTGAATAATCTCTAGAACCAGAAGGAAGGCAAACATTTATTCCCAAGTGATGTTACAATGCATTATTGCGTTGTTATCATTCATTGTATGGATCTCTTCTAGTCATTTACATTTCATTGCAATGCAAACCTGGGAATTTCTGCCTTTGTGAAGAACAGGCTGTGTTGCACAGTAGACAAGAGGTGGTTCACCCAGAAGCATACTGATAATGGTATTGAGACTCCTTTTGGGTCTGCTTCTTACATCTCAGTGTTTGTTTTTGCAGATGAGAGGAAATTTTTATTTATGGAAGGACCCCTTTTCATGAGCAAATCCGTTGTTCCATGATTGGGAGTACTTGTTTCATGGAACCAGGGCTTTGGATCCGAGAGTAATACTAACAGACACTTGTAATTGGCTGCTCAGGACTATGGCAAATGGGCAAGCCCAATTCTAATTTATCAGTATGAGATTGCTCATCATGTCTGTTTTATCCAGGTTATTTTTAGCTGCTAGTATGTGGTAAAAGGGATAGTTCTAGTCAACTAATATTGGAACTTCATGGCACAGTGGTTAAACTGCTGTACTGCAGCCAAAACTCTGTTCAGAACCCAGTGTTCAATCCCAGGTAGCCGGCTCAAGGTTCACTCATCCTTCAGTCCTTCCAAAGTCAGTAAATTGATTACCCTGCTTGTGGAGGCAGGAAGAAGGTACAGCCTGCATAATTAATTTGTAAACTTCCCAGAGAGTCTGTTTTTTTACTGTAATACTCTGATACAAATATGAGATTTGAAATCAATTCAGATAGTACATTCTGCTGTGATTGCTCCACACAAGCATGACAGAGAGGGTTAATACCTCTCCAAACCACCTTTTATTGCATAAAATTATTTTTGTTCTTTGAACTATTAAAATAGGTTTACAGATATGCTTGACAACACAGCAGAAGGAGGAGAGTTAATTTGCCTTTACATTCCTGATTCTCTTGGATTTTTTTTAGGTCATAGAGTTTTATATAGCCCTAGTATATATTTGAAGTTACAATTCATTCAGTAACATTTTCTTAAACTTAAACTGTTAATTATGGTTTGATTTGCTTCAAAGAAAACCTTTGCTTCCTGATAACAAGCTTGTAGAATATTTGCTTATAAGGTGTTAACTTTGACAAACGTGAATTCCAGATTGTAAGAAAACTAAGGTGTTGCATTATTTGTCTTTCAGTTGGAGAATTTGTGAGTGATGCTCTTCTGGTGCCAGATAAATGCAAGTTTCTTCACCAGGAAAGGATGGATATATGTGAAACTCACCTGCATTGGCACACGGTTGCTAAAGAGGTACGTTATATCAGTATATTGTTAGCTGGTGCACGTTTCAAATGGCACAACTAGCATTGTTATTAAATAATAAATGAAGTGTGATTTCAGTGAAGAAATAGGAACTGTATGGCTACGTTTATAGCTGTTTTGTGTAGGCTTTATTCCGTGTTGGAATTCTAGCCATGCGCAATTTATGAGCGTTGTGTGACATTTAAACTTGCTGTGTCTGCAGTGACATATGTGGCATTTCACTCTCTTTTCAAGTATGTGGTTTTGTTTAGATGCTTAATTGATTAAATAACAGGAATAATAACAAGAATAATGAATAAAGTTTATTACTCATCTCCCTGGTACAATTTTCAACAGGATGATTTAAAAAATAAATTGTAAGAAGACAACACATCAGTTGTCATGGAAGGAGTTATAAGAACAGAGACTTGGAATCGAAGCCTTTCCCCTATATTCCATGTGAAATCCTACCTGCCTTGCTAAATACCAAGAAGATCTTAGATAAACATGCTTGAGTCTTAGCTACCAGGTTAGTGTATTTGCCAAGGGGGGAAAAAAGGCAAAAGCCAGAATTATAAGCTGAAATTCTATAGGAACTTGCAACAAGAATATATCCATTGCATCAGTAGAATTTATATACCCTGTTTTCCCAAAAATAAGACCTAACCTGGAAATAAGCCCTAGTACGATTTTTCAGGATGCTCGTAATATAAGCCTTACCCCAAAAATAAGCCCCAGTTAAGTGAAACCCCATCGTCCACCATTGTGCAGCCACCCGAAGAAGATGACATGACTATGTTTGAATAAATGTAGATTGTTGTACATGAAAAAAAATAAAATGTCCCCTGAAATAAGCCTGAATGCATTTTTTGGAGCAAAAATTAATATAAGACCCTGTCTTATTTTCGGTGAACACGATAGGTTTTGATTTAACAAATCCTAACTGATTCTCTGGACCTACCTGAGTTGTAACTTCTAATATTGGTAAAGGTACATTAGAAGTATTGCGCTAAATCATAACAATGTTCTATATCCTATCCTTGAGAAGGATGACAGTATGAATGAAGCAATAAGTAGAAGACTCATGAGAGAGCTGACAGAGGGGCACCCAGCTTGAAACAAATCAAAGCCCAATGCAAAATGCCAGTTGCATCCCTTGATTAACATTGCAACATCATTCCAACGATGCCATCTGGATTAATCAAAATCCCTGTATCATCTCACTGTTGTCTTGCTATAGTCTCCATAACACTCATCAAGAAACAGTGAATAGTACCAAAGTGGACATAAAAAGGAATAATACAATCTACCTGTGGAACATAACAGTTATCAAAGACTTCAAAGTGGATTTTCTCAAATATATTAATTCAGCTGGACAGGTAGACTTGTGAGGTAGGAAAATGAGAACAGATACAGAGGTTTATGAGAGTTCTTTAAGGGCTGAACTGTAGCAACACTTACCCTGGATACTCTTCTCATTATGAATGTAGTGGGAAGGAGTTAAGGTATCTTGCTTTATAATATTCTCTGAGTGACTTGCTTCAAAAAATTTTTGGCAGACTTACTGCTGTTCATACCATTTCAGCAAGAGAGAAGGTAGTCTGTAGACTAGCATAAGTGGCCATTCACAAGGTGCTATAAAGGTTGGATATTCTCTTGTCGCAGCAACAGCTATACAACACTATTGAGCTTACATTACGAATTTTGATAGAAGGAACCCTCATGGCTGCATGTTATTCTTGTCTCTGGTATTTTGTGCTCATTTCCATTTGGTAAAATAAGAAGGGAGTAGGCTGCAATCACTTGAACATTTAGCTGAGGGTAAACACCACAGATCACAAAGGAACCTGCGTATGAGTAGACATGCATAGAATTGTAAATGGAAGATACTTGTCCAATGCCTTCAGTGAGTAATGCTGCAAAGAAAAATCACGTAAAGAATGGTTTTACAATGTCTAGACCATTCTTCCTGTTTTTAATTCCTTTCACGAAGGTACATTTTCTTTTTCAATGAACACCTAAAGGCATATTTGTATATCTTAGAGAGTGTTCTGTCAAGCTGTCTTCCAAGTGCTCTTGAGTTATAGTTCAAGATTATATCAGTAGAGTTCCATCTGCAGCTTAGAAAATGAAAATGCAAAATATTTTCTTTCTTCTCTAGTTGACATTGAATGCTTTTCTTCTGGAGCTTCCTCCTATCATTTACATACATTGTGCATGTGTGTGTGTATACTATTGCCCATTCATGTAAAACACACACATATATACATGCACATTTCTGTTTAAGCCATGAAGCTTACCAAATCTTTACTCAAAGATTCTGTAATGGCTGAAAACCTAAGAACTACTGAATAGCTCAGTGGTTTAGGTCTCTGGCTGCGGAACCAGAGGTTGAGAGTTTGATTCCCCACTGTGCCTCCTTGACAGGGGCTGGACTCAATGATCAATACAGTCCCTTCCAGCTCTGCAGTTCTGAGATTGTTGTTAATATTACTGAACTAATAATATGAATATTTGGATAGGATAATTCCAACTAGTAGTGTGTTGCATCAAAAATAAAGAAATAAATCTGTTGCTGTGCTCTTTGCAACTTCCTTATCTTGCCTGTTCCCCATTGCATTTTTTGTGCTAACAAAAAGAGCACAATTTTTCACCCATGTAAAAAAAGAATTTTAGGGCACCATTACAAAGTTTAACTGTGGCTGCTAATGTGTCTGTCATGAAAATCCCCGTTGTTGTTTTTTTTAATTCTCCCTCTCCAAGATTGGTGCGATTTTAAGACCTTTGGGCACTGAGTTCTGAAAATTATATATTGTCTAACTGTACCATCCTGGGAAAATGTGTGTAAATGTATGCACACAAAGACACACACTTCCTTTTCTTTTTGTTGTTTTTGTCACCCAAGTGGAGAGAAGTGAACAAGGAGGAGTCGGAGTCAATTATGTTTCCTGCTAGGTCTCTCCGCATCTGTTGTGTACCTATTCTGGCAGCAGGAGTTACAAAGTCCCATCGAGTCATTGTTTATTTTATTTCTAAGCCCACTCATAATATTTTTAAGTCTATTAGCCAGAATAAGTTTATGTTTAGAGAGCTTTCCATATCAGCACAATGCATAAAATATGTCCAAGGCCTCTGTGTGGCTGCTCTGGGGTTTAATTTGTAGCTTATCCTGCTAAGCAGGATATTTATTAATACTTTCTTCCTCTCTCCCTCTCTCTTCCTCTCAGTCCTGTAGTGAAAAGAGTATGAATCTACATGACTATGGTATGCTTTTACCTTGTGGAATTGACAAGTTCCGTGGTGTGGAATTCGTTTGCTGTCCAGTCGCTGATGAGAGTGATATTGTTGACTCTGCTGAGGCAGAAGAAGATGACTCTGATGTTTGGTGGGGTGGCGCAGATGCAGACTATGCAGATGGCAGGTAAGACTGCAGCTTCTTCCATCATCTAATAGTTTATTAGGGCTTTGGGTGAAAAGTAAAAGGGTACTATGAATCTTAGCTAGAGGATTCTCAGCATCTCTGTCTAAACACTTGTCAGTACTGTGAGAGATACAGGTAATGCATTCAAGAGTAGGCGTACTTGGAAGTAAAAACCAATGGGAATTGTAGAGAAAGTCCTGTTTATTACTTACTGTATGTTCTAAAAGAGACACCTTTTCCATATCTCATGGGTTGAACTGGATACTGTGTGGTTTTTCTTTTTTTAGTTAAGGATGTTAACAAAGATTCTTTCTTGGAATATTTATAAGAAGTTCATAATCTGATTGTCATGAAGAGATTCGAACCAATGTTGGTATCTTGTATGAAACAAAGCTTAACTAGCAAGGAGATGCAATGAAAAATCAAAATAGATCTCTTGCAGTTGCAGTGCATTTGGTTCTCTGAGACTAAATTATATTTCTTTTTTTGGGGGGGCTTAAGAAAATATCCTAAATCAAACAGTGTAACTGTGGATATCACTATAATATTTTGGCATTAAAATAGTACAAAAATCTAGTTTTAAGGAGTAGGGTAGAATGATTCAAAGTAGGTGTGATCCTCAGAATGTCTGATGGCTGCAGACATCCACCCATGGCTGCCCGAGGAGTTGCACCTACACTCCAGGCCCGTATATTTTCCTTTTAACTGAAACAGCCCACTTCCATATTCTAGTGGTCAAACCTTTTACTTTAAAATTATAAAAGTTATGGGACAGGTGTTCGGGAGGAACATGGCAAAATTGCCTCTTACATGCTCTAAATGGGCGCAAGGGGACTTTTGAAGGATGCTAGGGCCCACATGCAATTTATGAGGTGGCCTTTAACTGCCCTGGATTAGAAAGTAAGTATTTCATACATCTTTTTCTAGGGAAGAGTTGAATGTTAATAAAGCTAAAATATTTTGAAGCTTCACTATGATATCTGGAACAGAAATACTTTATTGTGTTTATTATAACAGTAGATATCAGTGATAAAGAATGTATGTAATAGTGTCTGTATAGTATTTTTCATTCTTTTGCGGGGTGTCGGTACAGAACATTCAGTAGCCCATCCAGTACAGTGAAATACGTCAAGGTCCAAACTGAGCATTGAAGAGATTAGTATGTGTTGAGATCATAGACTAAAATTTAAATGGGTATCAGTATGTACAGAGTAAGATGACAGAGTTGGCTTTTCATGGTAGAGAAAGTTGTCTCTGAACTAGTGGTTAAACTTTTCAAATACAATGGTGCCTGGACTTACGACTATAATGTGTTCCAGAAGATGGGCATAACTTGAAATGGTCATAAGTCGAAGCACCATTTCCCATAGGAATGCATTGGAACGCAATTAAACCATTCCAGCATTAAAAAAAACCCAGCAAGCCGCATCAGAACACAATGGGGCTGGAAAAAGCAACACCAAAAAACATCACAGCACAAAAACATAACCCCCTCCCCAAACCCAGCCTGCAAAACAAAGTAAATGTACTTACTCAGGAGCAGCACCAGGCAGTCTGAAGTTTGCTCCAACGCACACAGTCTAACCATTGGGGCGAAAGAGCTACAAAGAAGCTCTTCGCCAACCAACAGTTAGTACTCTAATTTGAATTCCCCGCCTTTTTTCCCTGCGTCTTTTGTTTGTAACTCGAAGCTCTGGCCGCAAGTCAAAGCAAAATTTTGCAGCTGGAACTGGTTGCAACTCGAAACGGTCATATGTCAGGGCGGTTGTATAAGTCAACTTATAAGTCATAGCCTAATAAGAAAATGTGTCTCACCCTGAAATAGTGAAACCTGGGAGACTTTCCTGGAAGTGTCAAAAGAATGAAGAAGTTATAGTTCTCATAACATCTGGGGAGAAATGGTGAATGCATGAAGGAAATGATACTTTAATGCATTGGGGCTAGATATCCATGTTCAAGTGTAACACCTAAACTAAGGATGCATTGAATAGTTGTGGGTTTTCCGGTCTATTTGGCAGTGGTCTTAAGTTTTTTGTTCTTAACATTTTGCCAGTCTCTGTGGCCAGCATTTTCAGAGGACAGGAGTCAGAACTCTGTCTGTGCTCAGAGGAACAAAACCCTTAAGGAACAAAAACCTTAAGAACATGGCCAAACAGCCCAAAAAACTCACAACAACCATCGGATCTCAGCTGTGAAAGCCTTCGAGAATACAATGCATTGAATATGAATACTTGCAGATTGGAAACCAGGTTAACTTGACACATTGAGATGCCTTGGTGAAAAAAGAGGTCAGCCACTGTCCATTTTTGCTGCCATTATTAGTCAAAGATTTGGGGAGAGGGCCTGTGTTCTTTTGTGCAAGAGACCTGCATTTTCTACCAAAAATTTATTAAAATGACTTGTATTTTTCACACAAAAAATATACAAGTTCTTCTGGGTAAAATGCAAGGGTCAAAAATCCTATTAGATATTTTATTCATGCACAAGAAGAATCACAGAAGTTGTCATAGCTAACCGAGAAGGTGCCAGGACAAGGGCTGTGCACTCAGTCAAACAATCAGACCTGTTCAACTCCTACTTAGTCACTTAGCTGGGAGAGCATTTACAATTTATCTGGACCATGCATAAATGTCAATAAGATGTTGAGCAAAAAAAAACCACAAACATCTTTTTTGCATAAAGAAGCATTTCTGCCAATTTGTCACCAAAATTGCTGAAGTGCAAAAAATGAATTTTCGTCTCTGATTTTTTTCCATTTTTCATCAACAAGAATGAAATAAGCAAAGAATGGCATCACTGGCTTAAAACCACACTTTACCTCTGCATGGATGAGCCCTGGGGTCATGCTGCCTTTCTTTGTTTTTGCTACAGGGAAAGACACAAGAAGACTCCATTTCCAGTTGTAACTAGCTTGTTACTTCATTCGAGCTGAGACAAACTGTGGTTTATTTGAAGATGCCAAGATGGTTGATGGTTGTCCTGGTTTATTCTGATTCACAGAGTTAGAAATTGCAGTTAGTTCAAAGTTGAGAATAGAAGTTTCTCATCTCTTCCTTGCAGCCATGTTGAGGGGTGGGGGGAGGAGAAGAGAGATTGTGTTTAAACATGTAATGCTAATATGTGATTTAAATGAAAATAGCAGGGATGGCCTGTGGTCCCTCTAACCAACTTAGAAACACATACTATTTTCTTTCTGTCTTCTCTGCTTAGCTGTGTGAGCAAAATGACAGAACCTAAAGTTCCCCAGCTTCATGGTGTTTTGCTTAGCTAGGCAAATGCAGCTGACCATACTTCCATTTTTCTCTTTCTATCTTATTTTCTTTAGGAGAAGAATTAGTTGGAATGGAAATCCAGTGGGTTGACCATCTGCTTTTGCTTATGGTCTGTCTCCTGTACACATGTACGTGCTCTCTGGTTAGGAAACAGAAAGAGAAGAGCAATTGCAAGCCTGTGTTGTCTTAGGAAGTTGCGGACTAAACATCATTTCCATTTCCCAAATCTTTACCTTTAATTCTGGTTTGGAGAAAATGGAGGGGAGGAAGCAGTGCTAGTGCTGTTCAGAGGTGTTCCTGATGCAAGAAATTTTAAGCACTGGAGGGGTTGCTCATTATGGTGCAAGCTAGCCAGTGAATGAGCCATTTCTTCTTTCCTTCTCTGTTCATTTCCATACCATAACCAGTAGAGGGGTTGACATTCTGATAACTTAATTAGATTATGAGACATGCCAGGCTGTGATTGAGAATCTGGCCTAATCCATTTATACACCTATACTGGTAATTTCATAGAGCACAAAATTAATTATACGTGGTTACTGTTGCTTGCTTCCAAGTCAATATGAGGGAAACCAAAAAAATGCAGCTTTGTTTGTTGGCATGGTATATCATAATTTAGTAATAAACTTTATTGCAGATTACCAGGTTATTGCAGTGTTACAATGTCAGATGCAGGGTCTTTCCCAGAAATATATATGAAAATAGTTAATTCGTGTTATGCTGTATAATTGCCAAGTGCACAGCAATCAGTCCATGTGTAAACAAAAACTGCCGAAGATTTGTAGTGAAAGAGAAAAGGTGTAGTGATGCAGTGCTGGTCATCTTGTTTCCAGCTGGGGTCTGACCTACAGCAACAAAACTGTTTCGTCTTCTGTATGGGGTGTGTGTGATCCATTTTCCTTTGTTTCCTAGAGCGCTGGCTTTTAGAAAGGATTGGGGGTGGTGGTGGAAGGGGATTCAAGTATCTGGTGCTGAAAGACTGTATGGAGGTAATATTAACTGAAACAATGTTCTGAGGCAGAGGAGCAGTGTGTGAATGGAGAAGCAGTGTCCACTCTTCCTGGAAACTTATTCTTTTGGCATGTTTTACTCTCCTCCAGCTGAGCACTGTAGCATAGTCATTTGTAGGAGAAAGTGCCATCCAGATCTCTCTGCTGTTCTTCCTGGATGTTTTCTGAAAATGTAGTATAGCTAACTTGATTCTAGCTCTTTTAAAAAGCTGAAATGTGTTTTGAGATTCTGTCTTGTGTTAGAACTGGACTTTTACATTGAGTGCATTCATCACCACACTCGGGCTGAGATCATCAACATGATTTAACATGCTACCTCACCGGAACACTATGCACAGCCTCAGAAACAATCCTAATATAGTCAACAAAGAGGCAGATAAAGGCGACACAGTGGTTGTCATGGTCAAATCAAGTTGTCCAACACAAAATTTTACCAGTTCCTAACCACAGATCTGACCACCAACTATCAAAAAGAATTACAAAACCTTATGAAAAACTTCTGGAAACGTACCTGAACGAATCCTCATTTAACACACCACAGCCAGCCACCTTCTACCTACTACCAAAAATATACAAACCAGGAAGCGCCAGTAGACCTATTGTATCAAGCATCGGCACCATCATTGTTGGGGTATCTGGATACTTGGGACTCTACCAATGCACCTAGCTATGTAAAATATAACATGGACTTCCTAAAAAAACTTCATTTCACACACAG